CCCCAAAACCCCAAAACCCCAAAACCCCAAAACCCCAAAACCCCAAAACCCCATTTTTAGTTAATAAAATTGAAACTAGAGTTCATTACTTAAGCTTGATATTTCTGCCTTTAAGAGATTGGTCAATTTAGCTCTCATTATATCATTGAGGTCATGTCTTTGAGAAAATCGAAATGCTAAATCGTCTGCTGTATCTCCCTCGAAAACAACTATTCTCTCAGCTTTATCAGGTCCAAGGTTGACATCAACAAAGAGCAATGGACTGTCATCTAGTTCAGGGCTGTGATCTATATACTCTGTTTCCTTATCTTCTGGGAACTGATCATTGTAATACCCTTCTCTGTTTGTATTAAAGTTATTATAGACTAAACTTTGGTAATCAAGGACCTGATCCCTCATTTCTTCCTCAAGTTCTTCTGTCTTAGGAGTCTCAATAAGTTTATTTCTCACATTAGGTCCATTCTCAATGGTGATTGGGGCTGAACTTAAACTATCTTTTTCATCAAAACTACTCTCCTCTCTTCTCTGATTCTCTATGTCTTGGATTCTTTGATTAACATATTGGAGGTCTGCTTTATCAAAGATGGCATCTGTCTTAGTAACTTCAGGTATGCTCTCACGCTTAGAGTTCTCCCTACTGTTATCCTCCTCACTCTCTTCCTGCTCTGAGATCTGAGGGATGAATATCTCTTGACTATCTTTTTGGCTGGATTTTACCTCCACTTCCTTCTTCTGGTTACGTTTCCTAAGCCTTGCCTTTTCATATAGGTCTTTGAACTTATCATTGTAGTTAATCTTTGCTTTTGTTCGACGCTTTATAAGGCCTAAATATTTTGATATTTTGAGGGTTATGAAATTACCTGTATCAATTTTGGATTTGCATTCCTTATCCTTTTCTACTTTAAAGCTGATTTCATCCTTAGGCTTCACAGACCCTTTGGAGTACGAAAATACAGCAGAATTTTCCAACTTCTGGTTCAGAGAAATTTTGGATCTTTTATTATCTAGAAATTTATTGGGAAATTACAGCTGATAAATTGTTGATTCCTTGTGTGGATACCATGACTGATATCAGCAGCAGATGGACACTTATTGAACTTCGAGAAGGCACCATGTTCTAATTTTCCTGTGGACACTCTTTCAGGTTTCTCTCCAGAGAGCATCTGCTTACTTCTAGAAGTTTGCAAGGCATAGTTCTTGTGGCTGAAGGAAGAATTTACATTCTTCAGGAAGGATCTCACTGAATGATTCTTATACATTGAAAGCTCGCTCTCTTGGTTCTCTTGCCTCGATTTCCTCTCAGCTTCGCCTGTATAAAGGTAGCCATTAAAAGTCTTGTCTTTTCTATTAGATCCAGTGTTCATCCAAGATCTATCACACTTTTTAAAAAGATCTCTGAAACTTAAAGTTTGCGCCATTTCTGAGTTTTTGGTATGCTTATTGCGGGTCTTTGCCAAAGATTTGACTTCTTTAGGCTTTTGTTGGTAACTGTATCTTGGCTCTAATGTTGAGTTAATGCTATTCCGACACTTTTTGCCTAGGTCGTTGAGTCTCTTGTGTACAGAAGCTCCAGATAAGGAATCCTCTATAGACTTAGTGAGACACTGAGACTTTTCTTCTTCAAAGGGTTGAAGAATCTTTGGACTTCTTCTTTTCCTTTTAAATGAAAGATCCTGAAATTTGTTGAAGTTTCTCTTCTCTGGATTTCTCTGAGGTTTAATGAGCGTAGTGATGTTCCTTCTTGTGATTACACTCTGCTTCTTAAGGGAAAGGCCTCCGACTGATTTAATTTTCGAAAGTTTATTTCCTGGACTTTCAGTCCTTAGACTTGGACTCCTTTGTTAGACCAGTATGAAGTTGTTTGTGACTGTCGTATTTCTTGAGTTTTTTCGTAACATTTTGTGAGTTATTCAGGTTTGGAATCAGCTTTTTCTTCACAAGACTCTTTTTCTTGGAACTTTTACTTGTGGCTGAAGCGGCTATGAACTCTTTACTTTTCTTGTTCTTGTGACGATATGTATGGTAATTAGATTTTATAGGCTTCTTGGTAATATTCTTGGTGAGTTCCTTTTTGTTGGGGATTCTTTGATCTGACATTGATTTTGATACTTCAGGAGTATTTTCTGGTTTTTGCATTTCTTGACTGTTAGTATATTCATCATCAACTTTTGTATTCACGAGCTCGAAGCGCCTTGCTCCTCCAAGATCTTGGTGGCCTTCAGAGAACTTTAATGATGCTTGATCTAGAATGAGTTCAGAAATATGCTAAAAACTAAAATACCTGAGATTCTGATTTTACGGTTAGAGCCATTATGCTCGTTGGTATCATTGAGGATTTCTTTAGAATCAAGACTTTCTGAGCTCGATTCTTTGAAGTACTCATTTTTGGTATACTTGAATGAGTGCTTTTCTTTTCTATCCAGAGAATATTGGTCTTTCATAAGAGGAGATTGAACTTCAATATGACTCTTAAAGTGGAATGGCTTTATATACCTAGCTGAATGCGTTGTTGCATCTATTCTTGTTTATCATCACAAAAGCATACCATTCTTTCCCTCATTATTTTGGGTAGGGTTTTCATCGACATTGGAAAACTGTTGATCATTTATAAAATTCTATATAAATCCCATAAAACCTTTCATCTCATGACTCCTCTTGCCTAAGACTTACCTCACTAACATCTAGGTCATCTCTATGTCCTTCTCCTCCAACTCCAGTCTTTGTATTCATTTTTCAAAGATTTAGTCCTGTAAATTATTTATTCATTAACAGCCTCCAAAAATGGGGTTTTGGGGTTTTGGGGTTTTGGGGTTTTGGGG